TATGGATTGTGATAAGAGTTGTATGAGCCCCCAATAAAATGATTTAAAAAAACAAAACAAAAAACTGTCCTCTAAATCACGTATTTTCATGCTTTTGTTTTAGAGTCTTGGCCTTTTCCTCATCCTCTATTACTTCTGTCACAGTCAAGATTGATGGAGTTCACGTAGGGGAAGCTGTTCATTTGTCTGGCCCTATTTTCATACTAAAATGGAATCCCAGAAACTACAATAATGGGACACACAGCATAGAAGTATTTGTCAAGGTAAGATTGTAATTTTCAATTTGCTGTGTAAATGATAAGGCTATATTTACATTGAACTCTGAATTAGGAGTTTTCCAGTCAATTGGTAAGAATAAACTAAGTTTAATGTTTAAAAATTAATACATCGTATCTAGCGTGTTTTTGACCAGATTGACTAGAGGAGGGGTCCTGAAATTCTTGCCTGCGGGCCACATGCGGCCCGCTGAGGACATTTATCCAGCCCACTGGGTGTTTTTGTCCCATTTGGTTTTTTACTTCAAAATAAGATATGTGCAGCGTGCTTAGGAATTTGTTTATAGTTTTTTAAAAAACTGTAGTCCAGCCCTCCAACGGTCTGAGGGACAGTGATCTGGCCCCCTGTTTAAAAAGTTTGAGGACCCCTGGACTAGAGAAACAAATCCATTGACACTAATATGTATAAGAAAGAGCTTCATATCAAGAAATAATTATATATCATGAAAGCATCCCAGCTCAGTCCAACTCAAGTCCCTGAATCTGATATTAGCCCATATGTGCCTCTTCAGACTCATTCAGTGACTTGCAATGATGTAGAATGCAGGAAGATCATAGGCCGGTGGATGTAGTGGCCTGTGGTGCCAAGGTCGGTGGAAACAAGGCGGGGTTCTGACAGCTCTCACGGTCAGTGGCAGAGTCCCAGGAAGCAAGAAGGGGAAGGGGGAGGGAGAGAGAAGGAGGCCCCTAGTTCTCCCGGCTAAAGGACACATCTCCAAGGAGGCATCATCAGGCTGAACAGGTTGGCTCCACCCTACACTTCAAGTTGACATGAAACAATCTAACTGCCATGTAGTGTATTCTAAAAATGGACACTATTCAAGTAAATTCGTAGACACAGACAGTAGAACAGAGGTTACCAGGAGCTGAGGGAAGCCAAGAATTGGGAAGTTAGTATTTAATGAATGGGTACACTTTCTGTTTGGGACAAAAATAAAATGGTGATGGTTATACAACAGTTTGAATGTATCGAAACTACTGAATTATACACTTAAAAATGGTTAGGAGGTAAAGTTTACATTAAGTATATTTTACCACACATTAAAATAAAAACAACAGAATGAAAAAATATGTAACTGTTAAGATATAATGAGAAAAGTTATTGGAAACTGACTCTTAGAACATGATAAATAGTTAAATCCCCTTGAGCGTTACTTCTCTGTTGGGCCTATTGTAGGATTCAGCGGGAAGAATAAAGACTGCTCACCACGTGTTCTCTCTCGAAGAGGGCCTTCATCTCACGTTTGAGCCCCTAGCATCATTTATTCTCCTTACTGACTTCTATGTTGTGGTGAGTGAATTCAACCTAATGCTATGTGTGTTTTCATTGGATTTGGTAAAGCCAAAGCCCCAAATAATATAGTCACGTTAAGAGAAAGCTGAACCTTATCAATAAAATTACTTTTGTGTTACTAATGAGGGGAATTCTAAAAAGTCCTGGAATAATTCCATTATCTTTTTTTCCCCATTATCTTTTAATTCCATTTTTTCCCACAAATTTTTTGACGTTCCTTCTTATGTTGGAATTAAAAGGCACAAGGAGGAGCCTAGCCAGGCAATACCTGTGATTGGGGACCTGGCTCTAACCAAATGTCTTGAACGGATAACTGAGAGAACTATAGAGATTGCACTGATGTTGGCTTAAGGATGGCCAAAAACATTTCTTCTTAGATAAATAATATGTACATATTATAGGTAACTTGGAAAAGCAAGAAAACTATAAAATGGAATAAGCTGCTCTACCACACCACTTAGTAGAACCATTGCATTTATCTTCATGTACTATTTATTTTCCTCTCTCATATGGAGGGGGCACCCTGCAAAACTGGAATTTTTTCCCCTTAAGTTTTTTGTACAACTTTATCACCTTCAAAGCACTCTCCATTACACTTAGTACATTTGTCAAATCTGCAGTTCCATTCTTGAAAACATTTTTCAAACTTATCTGTTTGGATGGCTAACAGTACCTCCCTCGTCTTTTTTTCTTCCCCTCTTCTACGTCATCAAATTGCTGTCCTTTCATGTCCCTCTTCATTCACGGAAACAAAAAGGAGTTGCAGGGAGCAATGTCAGGTGTGTGGGGCAAGAGAAGCATGCTGTTTTTTGCCAAAAACTGGCACACTGAGATGGCTGTGTGAGCAGGTGCATTGTTGTGGTGGTAAAACCAGTCCCCCAATCTGCCACAAACCAGGTCTTTTTTGTTGCACGTGGTTATGCAATCTTTTCATAACCTCGAAATAGAAATCTTGATTAACAGTGTGACCTGGTGGAATGAACTGCAAATGCACTATTCCCCTCACATTAAAATAAAAACAAAAATGAGCATCAGGTTTTTTGGGTACCCCTTTGTATGTATAGAATCCAACCCACTGCTGTCAGGTTGATTCCAACTCATAGCGACCCTACGGGAGAGAGTAAAACTGTGGTGTAGCATTTCTAAAGCTTTGAGTCTTTGTGGGCTGCCACCTCTGGTTTGTGGAGTGGCTGGTAACTTTAAACTGCCCACTTTCTTGTTAGCCACTGAGTGCTTAACCACTGTGCCATCAGGTCCCAATATATAGATAAAGTTTTCAATATAAAATGATATATTTGAACTTCTCTTTCCTATCTGATTTTGTCCCACTAAGGAATTTGTTTTGACCATTTTACACCCCCCCCCCCACATCAGTTAGTTGTGTTTATAACATGACATTTATTGGGTGCATTATTTTGTCCGAGGAGCATAATTGGACTGAAGACTTCATCGTCAGTAGTATGATCCCTCTAACTGCTCCACAGGAGCAATATGAGGCTTTCTGCCCCTGTCAAGACTGACAGTCTTTGCGGGGTTGCACAGACTGAGATTTGACCTTGAAACTGAACCATTAATCAGAAGGGCAGCAATGAACCAAGGACAGAGGACTAGGAGAGGAGGAAGGAAATGGGAACCACTGGGAGGAAGTGGGGTAGGTGATGGTACAGGCAGGGGACTGGGGTGGATGAAGTGGCCAGATTTGTGTAGGTCGTGCCATGTAGAACTAATGGTCTGTTCATGTAAACCTTCACCTACAGCACAATGAAAAGTTTGTTTCTTAAGTTTCTCTTCTAGAGAAACGATGGCAATTTATCTTCTAGTTCCATCAGGTCTCACCTGACCTGGGTTTTAACATAAAATGCAAACACATGGTCAAGAAAATGTAAACCTTCCTTAATTTCACCTCCCAGTGATTAGCCACAGTTGGTCATTTTAGCATATACCCTTACAGACGTACAAATGCATGCAGTTTACTCTTTTATTATTAAGCTTTAAAAAATACATGATTCACGGACATTAAGTCCAAGAATTTTACAAATTTTTATTTTTGTCATTTTTTTATTTTGCTTTGGGGGTATTTTTAATAGTCACCTAGACCTGGTGTCATATATTTTAAGATGCATAGAACTCACCTGTTTTTTATTTTTTTATTTTATTTTTTATTTTATTAAAATACCGATTCTGATGGAGTAGTCTAGGGTGGGGCCTGACAGTGTGCATTTCTCAGCCTTGAGACCATTTCAGTGATGGTCTGGGCTCCACACCTCGAGAAAGCGCATCTAGACGGGGGTCTGTGCAAGTTCCTCTGCGAGCACATGGCTTCTGGATAGAGAGCAAAAGGAAGCCGACTGCTGATGCAGCCTGCTTTTTTTTTTTCTTTTAAACATTTTATTAGGGGCTCATACAACTGTTATTGCAATCCATACACACATCAATTGTATAAAGCACATTTGTACATCATTCTCAAAACATTTTCTCTCCACTTAAACCACCGACATTAGGTCCTCATTTTTCCCCTCCCTCCCCGCTCCCCCCTCCCTCATGAGCCCTTGATAGTTTATAAATTGGTATTTTGTCATATCTTTCCCTGTCCAACGTCTCCCTTCACCCACTTTTCGGTTGTCTGTCCCCCAGGGAGGAGGTCACACACAGTTCCTTGTAATCGGTTCCCTCTTTCCTACCCGTTCTCCCTTTACCCTCCCTGTTTCACCACTCACACCACTGGTCCTGTAGGGCTCATCCACCCTGGGTTCCCTGTATTTTCAGTGCCTATCTGTACCAGTGTACATCCTCTGGTCTAGCCAGACTTGCAAGGTCGAATTCGAGTCATGGTAGTGGGAGCAGGGAGGAAACATTTAGGAACTAGAGGAAAGTTGTATTTCTCATCGTTGTTACATCGCACCCTGACTGGCTCATCTGCTCCCCGAGCCCCCTCTGATCTCCAGTGGCAGCCTGCTTTTTAAAAAACCTTACTTAATGGAACAAACTATTATACCTCCTTAGCACCATGAGCAATGGACTATTTAAATCTGATCACTTGGTTTAATCTGATTACTTTGTTTCAATATTGTTTTAACTATCTGCATTTTGAAAGAGCAATACCGAGGAAACTTCTATATGTATGTGTATTTCTCCCCCCTCCTGGCCCCACCCCTGGGTAGCTCCAGCTCTGGGATTCCCTTTAACCATACATTGCTTTCTTACACGGTCGTTTTTGTCCATGATGCCATTAAAGAAACGGGACTGACGCTGTGCTCCTGTGTGTCCCCGCTGCAGGCCCGGGTCCTTTTTGTGCTCATTGTGCTGATCCAGCTCGCCATCCTCATTATGTTTAGGTATCGAGGACACCCAGAGCTGAAAGGTTAGTCTCCCCTCTTAGAAGACGTTACTTGAGAGTGAACGCACAACACATCCTCACCAATACGAAAACAAAACAAAAACTCAAGGGAAATTGTATAAAATCTAGTATAAATTGTCTGAGAGCTGCATCTTTTTAACTAGTATACTATATCCAGAGTATCTTATCTTGAAAGAAAAACAAATCAGTGTTTTGCTGCTTCCTGGATACAAAATGAGGCTCAACTAAGGTGGGGGACAAACCAGAATCTAGCTCAAAGTGACTTCCTTTTACTATAGGTAGCAATTTAATTTAATTTTGAAACCTATTCATTTAAATAATCAAAGATACAGTACAAGCTTGACAATTAAATCACACGTATCTAAATTCTGAATTTTACTCTGGAACAAGTAATAGAAATGTTGTAAAGAAAGTGACTTTTCCTGTGGTGCCCCTACCACTCCCTGGATATGTTTTCCATCTATAAGCTGGTAATATGTCAACAGAAAATGTGGGTTAATTGATCATTATTAAAATACACGCACTCAGAGGAATGAGAACTTTAAAACAGGGCCATTGCATCAGGAAGGCCTTCTCCCTTAGCCAGATTTCTTCTCACTCTTCTTGACCATTGTCCCTTACTCACTGTGAGCCTGGGACTTTGGGGAGTATTTGTCCATAGTCACAACAGTGCTTCGTTTCAGAGGTGCCTGGCACAAAGCAAGTGCTCCATAAGTATTTGCGAAGTCTAAGAAGTAAATAAAGATTTGCCATGCCATCTTTGACAGTGGCCAACAAGTTTTGTCAAGCCTTTCCGCAGTAGTTCTCAGCCTGTGGCCGCGACCCCTTTGTGGGGTTGAACGACCCTTTCACAGGGGTCACCTGATCCATAACAGTAGCCAAATGACAGTGATGAAGTAGCAACGAAAATAAATTTATGGTTGGGGGGTCACTACAACATGAGGAACTGTATGAAAGGGTCCACCTTGACCCACAGGGTCACTATGAGTTGGTATCGACTTAATGGCAGTGAGTGAGTTTTCCTTCAATAAATTTAAGCTGATACTTAGTTGGATAGTGGTGCTTTCAATGATCTTTCAAATAGTGGAGCTTCTCACAGGCATGTTTATATGAAAGAATAATGTACTTTTTCATTGAATTTTGCCTTTTTTTCTATTAAAATAGCTCTTTATAAGCATACTGCTATAAATACTATCTAATATTAAATTATTAGCAGTGATTCAGAACCCCAAAACTCACAGCCATTGAGTTGATTCCAACTCATAGCAACCCTATGAGGTGGTAAATCTTTTTTTAAATGATTTTATTGGGGGCTCATACAACTCTTATCACAATCCAGACACACATCCATTGTGTCAAGCACATTTGTACATTTGTTGTCCTCATCATTCTCAATACATATGCTTTCTACTTGAGCCCTTGGTATCAGCTCCTTATTTTTTCCCTCCCTCCCTGTTGCCCCCTCCCTCATGAACCCTTGATAATTTATAAAGTATTATTTTGTCATGTACACGGTCCAACATGTCCTTTGACCCACTTTTCTCTTGTCCGTTCCTCAGGGAGGGTTACATGTAGTTCCTTATAATTGGTTCCCCCTTTCTACCCCACCTTCCCTCCACCCTCCCCGGTATCACCACTCTCACCACTGGTCCAGAAGGGTTCATCTGTCCTGGATTCCTGTGTTTCTAGTTCCTATCTGTACCAGTGTACATTCTCTGGTCTAACCGGATTTGTAAGGTACAATTGGTATCATGATAGTGGGTGGGAGGAAACATTTAAGAACTATAGGAAAGTTGTATGTTTCATTGTTGCTACACTGCACCCTGACTGGCTCGTCTCTTCCCCATGACCCTTCTGTAAGGGGATGTTCAGTTGTCTACAGATGAGCTTTGAATGGCCACTCCTCACTGCCCCTCTTTCTCAATGATATGATTTTTTGTTCTTTGATGACTGATAAATGATCCCTGCAGCACCTTGTGATCACACAAGCTGGTGTGCTTCTTCCATGTGGGCTTTGTTGCTTCTGAGCTAGATAGCTGCTTGTTTACCTTCAAGCCTTTAAGTCCCCAGACGCTATATCTTTTGATAGCTGGGCTCTATCAGCTTTCTTCACCACATTTGCTTATGCACCTGCTTTGTCTTCAGCGATTGTGTTGGGAAGGTGAGCATGATGGAATGCCAGTTTAATAGAACAAAGTATTCTTGCATTGAGGGAGTACTTGAGTGGAGGCCCAATGTCCATCTTAATACTAAACTTATGAATATATGCACATAGATCTATTTCCCCGTCCTCATACATAAATATATTTACATATGTACATGCCTGTATGTAGACCTCTATAAATGCCCTTTGCCCACTAGTTCTTTCATCTGTTTCCTTTCACTTTCCTCTTGTTCTACTATCATGCTCAGCCTTCATTTGGGTTTCAGTAATTCCTCTCGGTTATATTACCCTTGATCAAGCCCTACCATGCCACTCATTTTGGATGACTTGTTGTTCCCTTGTCCCTGGGTTTGTTAACGAGGTGGTAAATCTTTATGGGAGTCAATGACCTCATTTTTCTCCTGTGGAGTGGCTGGTAGTTTTGAATGGCCAGGCTTGCATTTAGCAGTTTAACACTTACCTGACAGTGCCAATGGGGTTCTTTTTTGGTGATTAAAACTCACTGCTACTGAATCTATTCTGATTCATAACAACCCGATAGAAAAGATTCTAGTTTCAAAGTGTATTTAAACAGGATTATACTGTAAAGTGATATAAAATAGTTTCTCTGCCATTCTGGATCCTTGCCCTACAGATTTAATGTAAATGGCTACATTTTAAAAAATACTCATTTGAATGGCAGCTATGGATAAAGATCCTAAAACTGTTTCATGCTTTACATGGGGGAAGAACGGAAAACAGAGCACCCAGTTCTCAAATTCACTCCCTGCACACATCCTTAGGTGACCCCATTTTCCTTGTATTTTCTGGGACATTGACTATTCCTTCTTTCTTAAGAACTTCTGTTCTCAGTGTCTCAGTGTTACTTCTCTGATCCTTTGTAGTATTAAGTTAAAAGTGGCGAGGGGGAGTGGGGTGCCATCCCCACCCGCTGCTTGAACTCACTGGTTCAGTAGTACTACTTCTGGGTTCAATAATGCACAATTGTACGGTTGAGATATATAAGCATTATATTAAAGTCATCGAGCGCATGAGAGATAATACAATAATACAGTAATACAGTCAGACATATTACATGGTAGCATTGCTCACCTCAGCCCAACTTGGTGGTCCACGTGGAGAGAGGGGGAAGGGAAGGAGGGCAAGGGAACAAGGGAGAGGGGGAAGAGAGGGGAGTGACCAGGGAGTGAGCAGCAAGGAGGTCAGAGAGAGATCTATATTGCTGACTCACACCTATATACCTTTTGGGGGCAAGCCAGCCCACTATTTACAGGTAGAGACATACATCACAGGGAGGAGCTGCAGTATAGGTTACACAGCAATGAGGGGTTGGTCTCTGGGTCTCCATAGGAACCATTATCAGTAGGGTGAAAACTCCTCCTACAGGAGCCTGTCCATTGTCCCCAGAGGCAGGGAGCAGGCCCACCCCTGCGGTGGGATGAGACAGCAGTCTGGCAACTGATTGCCTTCAGGGGAGGGAATGCCTGTGCATCTGACCTCCCCCCACAATCCTTCTTTCTGTATTTCCTTTACAGTCCTCTCTTCTCCATAAGCCTCAAATAAAAGAGGTCTGCCAACCTCTACTCCTCTACTTTTACTTCTAACATTCTCTCCTTTAGCCAACGACTTCAGAGTTTCACCCAAGACTACTTTATGGATGGCTTTCAGGTTTTAATATCTGCTCCTGATGTCTCTCACTGTGTCCCCAGAAGCCAACTAGATTTTCTAGTAAGAAAACCCTGACATTCTGTAACCTCCTCCCCGCTTAGGTTTCTCTCTCTTTTAGTGTCATTATTCTCTATAAAATGTTTCAGTAACCTCTGTCTTCCCTCTCTAATGACAACATCTAGTGAAGCCTGTTAACTCTTTCTTCAAATGTTAATTCTTTCCCTTCTGAAGGACCACCAAAGCCAAGGCAATCCCGTGTCCTCTGTGGATTACTGAATCACTGCTGCTCGTCCATGCCTCTCGCCCATTCTCTCTTCCTCATGAGCGATTACCCCTCTGACCCATAAGACGGCATCTTGTCCTTACGATCACATCCATGCTCAACAGCCTCCATGGGCTCCTCAGAACCGGTGAATGAAAGCAGACTAATCTAGCAGTTATTAAAGACCCTCTACAATATGGTCTTAGCTCCATAGCCACATCTTCAACCCTAGACATTTATTCTCTTTCCTATGCATATTATGCTAATTTCTGCTTCTTTGTTGTCCCCCACACTATGATCCTTGGCTTAAATTATTTTTCTAAATTACTTTAAAGCTAAGTCTCCTTTAAGGCTTAGCTCAAGCCTTCTTTCTCCATTTTTTTTTTGCCAACCAATCTAGGTCATATTGAGGTCGTGCATCTCTGTATCCCTATGGACCTTCCTGGAAATGAATTTTATACTTGGCCAGCCAGATTACCTTGCTTTATGTAACCATTTTAAGTATACATACTTTTTTCTCCTGTAGATAATCTCCAGATGGTAAGTTCCTCAAGGGAGGAACTCTGTTTTCTCCTCCTTTCCAGTTTCCCCCAGCACCCAACACTAATGTATGTACATAATAGTAACTACGTGTCACATTTTCCTAACTTATATGACACTCTGGGTCAGGGGCTGATGGAACAGCTCCTTTTTGGGCTACGTGAACGATTTAACTGCAAAAGCCGTTAAATGGAAGATCGTTACCGGAATAGGTTCTGTACACAATACTGAATATCTTCCGGCTTATATTTATTTGTAAAACTTCAATGACAAAGTTTGAGGGGCCCTGCTATCCATGTATATTCTTCTGCACATAATGCCAATCATAAACATTAAAGGGCCCTAGACTCACCATATGGCCGTCTTGATGTATTTGCATATTTAATTAAAATTTGCAGTGTATTTGACCACCATTCTATCACCTAATCCCAACACCAATCCTGTGAGATAAGTATTAATTGTCACCCTTTTAAGGATGGGAAAACTAAAGCCTGGAGGAGTTATGTAGCTTGTCCAATGTCTCCTAGCTAATAAGAGAGAGGAGAGATGCAAAAGACCAAGTCTTCTTACCTGAGGTCACTTTTTCCTTCTAAACAACCTTGGCTGCACCTTTAACTCCCTTGTGGAACTTTAAAAATCTCAGTGATCTACACAACACCCTGGGCTAACTATCTCAGAATCTTTAAGAGTGGAATTCATTCATCAGTACTTTTTTTTTTTGAAAGCTTTGCAGGTGATTCCAATGTGTAGGCGAGACTGAGAAGCACTGGTGTACACTGCCTCCTGGGGGACCCTGGAATGATCTGTGGGGGCAGCAAAAGCAGACACCGACACTTTACCCTGGATTATGGGCTATAGTGCAACAGTTTTTAATTGCTAGGAGGCCACTGAGTAATTTCCTTTCTGAAAAGGGGGTGGTAGGCCAAATATATTAGGAACCTGTGGTCTCAAGCAATATTTCTCAAACGTGGCTGTTTTAGAATCACCTGTGTTGCTGTCTAAGCTTCTGTACCTCAGGCCAATTAAATCAGAATCTCTCGAGTTCTTGTCCCCCCAGTTTATTCTAATTCTAATGTGCACCCGAAGTAGTGAATCTTGCTTAGAATTTAAAGGAGCACTGCCTATTAGGTTCAAAGATTTTAACAAACATTTATGATAAATGATATGAGGGCTAAGACTCTAAGAACCATTATATCAGAACAAAAAAGAACTGGAGAAAGGGGGAACCGATTGCAATGATGGACACATAACCATACACCCTTCTACACGGGGGAGAACAACAGAAAAAATGGGGGGATGGAGACAGCGGTCTGTGTGAGAGATGGAAATAATAACAATGTACAATCTATCGGGGCTATGGGGGGTGGGTGGGCGGAGCTGCTACCAAGGGCTCAAAAGAAAGTAAATGTCTAGAAAAGAATGAAGGCAACATATGTATAAACATGCCTGATTCAATTGATGTATGGATTTTGATAAGAGTTGTACGAGCCCCCAATAAAATGATTTAAAAAAAAACCAACAACAACCGGGGACCAAAATGAATAGCAAGTATATAGCACACGACATGAAAAGGGCCATGTCTTATCAGGCTTTGCTTGAAATGGCACCAAACTGAACAGGGTTTTCAGATATCAAGTGAGCATGCTGGCCTGTTGGCAAAGAACTTCTTTAACTTACATCAGGCTGTCGTTCACTGGGGCCAGACATTTAGATATTTCTCATGTATAGGGTGTTCAGGACACTGCTTCCTGTCATGGTCTTTGGCTGACTGGGTTATCATCAGCCACATAGATGAGTGAAATAGATGGCAGACTTGAATCTGTAGTACTTTAGTTTATGGCCACAGAGTGGATTTCTCTGTGTTATTATGCAGGGGCTTTATGGCACTATATTTTAGGAGCCTGTTAATTTGGAGAACTTTAGGGATCCCTTTGAATTGGTGCGAGGCCCCAGCAGTGGAATGGTTAAGTGATGGGCTTTTCACATCAAGGTCAACAGTTCAAATCCATCAGCTGCTCTGCAGGAGAAAGATGAGACTGCTCCAGTAAACACTGACAGTCTCAGAAACCTATAGGATCACTATGAGTCAGAGTTGGCTTGATGGTAATGGGCTTGGTATTTGTTCTTGAATAGGTGTAAGAATTAAACTCTAGATTAAGAGCTGTATCCACTACATGAAATGGATATTTGGATCTTTATATTTCAGATTAGACTGAAGAAATACTCATGGAATCAAGACTTTCTAAAACCGTGGTGGCTAGATGAACTCCTAGAGCTATTGTCTTGAGATAATCTATAAACTATAAGGCAAAAAGATCCCCAGAGGGTCTTCATTAAAACTAAAAAATTTAGTTTATCTAGTAAAGAATGTCTACCTTGAGTATGCACTCTGTTAAGACCTACATATATGGGACCAAATTGGCAACAGTAAGTCAAGGATTAGGTAAGAAACTTAGGGCACAGTGAGTTTAAGTGAATGGGAGGAAAACAGTTTAGAAAACTTTGCACAACATAAAGACTGTCATCAATGTCATTGAATTGTACCTGTGGAAATTGTTGAATTGGTATGTGCTCTGCTGTTCATATTCTCAACAACAGAGATTGGACTAAAGAGCTCCTGGTATTCTTTTGATGTATTTTCATACATGTAGATACGAGTATTTAAAGTTTTGGTCCCATTTTATACCCTTGTATAGGAAATCCTATAGAAAATAGAAACATATTATAATATCTATAAGAGCCCCCAATAAAACGATCAATAAATTAAAAGCAAAGAAACAAAGTAACCAAAAAGAAAAGAAAATAGAAACCTAATCATCCTTTCAACACAGCACTATAAAGCCTATTTGAAGATAAAGTAGCATTTCTTTATTGGATGTATATCCTTTCTTTGAACTTTTCATCTTTGACACTGCTAAATAAGTTGACGCACCAGGGTTTCTACTAACCTATGAATTTAAGAAGCGCATGGTTACATGTTGGTTACTGTGATCGCCGTGGTCAGCAGTTCAAACCACCAGCAGTTCCTTGGGGGAAAGATTGGGCTTTCTACTCCCATCAGCAGTCTCAGGGGGACATTATGAGTCATCATTGAATCCATGGCAGAGAGAGAGAGAGCCAGCCAACCAGCCAGCCAGACATAAGCCTTATCTTACTGCTGCAGAGCAGGATGGTGGGTTCGAATCACTGAGCTTAGTTAGCAGCCCAACAAAAAGCTATTACACCACAAGGGCTCCTTTCATCCATAAATAGTTACCATGTAACAGAGATTTGCTAAATGGATAGCCCAGAGAAGTATTCTAGAAAATGTTATAAAGAAATTCAACATTGGTGTGCTCACTGGATTTTTCAAATTTATTTGTTTAGGACCTCTAGGATTTATAAATCTGACCTCGTTTTCCCTTCATGTCTTGAGCAAAATAAACATCTTCTACTACTTTGTGTTGCTGCTGACCCTGTATACAGTGCTGGGTAAGTAAATTAGGAAGCCTGAAATTGTTGAGAATTCTGCCAGAGGGTATATGGAGCATGTGGGCAGTGGTGTTATTTGGACTCTTGAGGGTTTAATGAATGGGTCTTGGACCCCTCACAAGCCATTTCCTGGGATATGGTCTTGGGAAATAGAGTTATCTCCTAACATGTTTAAAGGACCTTTGACACCAAATTAACTTGTGGGTGCTGAGAAGACAGTTAAATAATAGGTGTATGCTACCTCTTCAGAACAGTCCTCTTAGAATACCTTCAAGTTTGATCCTCTATTTCACAATTTGTATGTCCTTCACTGCCTTTGTCAGAATGTCTGGTGATCTTGTCAATGATCCTTTGATTAGGTTAGTCGGAGGTGGGGGGTGGTCCTGTCCGTCTCGTTCACTAAGCACAATGCCCAGTGTGTAGGGTGGTGAGGGAATATCTAGTGATGTGCAGCTCCAAAAACTCAGCTTTATAAAGTCACTGAGATGAGCAGTGAGTTCAGGCATATCTAAGCACTTGTGTTGCATTTTTAATGATTACACCCAGTTCTGATGGGAGTCACTTTGTCACCAGGGAAGTAGAAAGCAGCGCAAGTCTCTTTTAGGCATCTTGTTCGTAGATAATCTCATCTGCTGGTGTTTCATATTGAAGTTACTATTGCAATAAAACCTTCCCCAATTAGGACATTCACGCCCATGTTTACCGTTCAGGTATAGCTTTTATAGTCCAGAGAACTGTGGAGGCAGGGGGCTGTAAGAATGGTGTGAGGGGGGTCTGACCTCAGAAATCACAAAGGGCTCTGAGGGGAGCATCGTCAGCATCAGCTGCCCAGGGCCAGTTCCTGTGAGGTCAGGAGCTCACCCTCCAGTCCTCGATCAAGTCTGGCACCCAGTAGTCTCTCCCACACACTTTCTAGTTCTCACCTGGATTCTATAATTGCAGAGTGTACTCATGATTATGGGCTATATTAGGGAAGCTAACATTACTATTCAGGATATACAGTTCTTTGGTCAAGATAGCCTCCTCTCTTCTGTGTCCTATTCTCCGATCCTTTACCCTCCATCCTCCACCTGGCCTCTGCCCTGCTTGGGCAATATTGTAAAGCTCATTTAGCATTGCTGATAAATGCCCAAAGGGCACTCCATTCCACCATAGGCCTCAGCCTAAAGGCACTGAGCTCTAGCTCTGTGGCTCAACAAACCTAGCTAACCGGTTAAACCCTGGAGGTACCCCGCAACAAAGCAAGCCTCCAGCTCGAAGGCACCAGCTTCACTTGTTCTCTCTGTTGGGAAGCGCACACTGCTCTGGCGCATGCTCTGGCTCTACTTTCTGCTGCTACTGCTTTGCTGCCAGTTGTTGGTGTCCTGGGTTTCTGCCCCGGGATCGGGAAGTTCAATGTGCAGGAATCTCCGGGTCCAAAAGACACTCATCTAGTCCTTCTTTCTGATGGTAGTGAGACCCCTGCTTCCTACTTCTGTGATGGCTCATTTTATATCCAGAGAGATGGCAAAATTGACCGATCTCCACATTTGAGTTCCAAGTTTTTACAAGCACAATTAATATTTTGTTAATAATCACTTACAATCAAGTCATAATCCTATCAGCATCTTCTTATCCTACCTTCTCTTACCCACACCCATCAGGAAATAGCCCTTCACTGGGAATTGAATCGGCCCGCACAACAACCTGGCTAGAAGAGCCATATCAGCAACTCACTGCTCCGCTGAAACAAACCATTAGTTGGGTCATTAGGAAATCAGGTACAGCACAGAGAATAGTAAGGAAAATAGTAAAAGCTAATGCAAATAAAATGCCTTTATGTGACTCTGCTCATACTTTTTGATTATTCCTGAAAGTCCATCTCATAGGGGAATGTGATTAGAGCCATCGTTATTTCATCTTTTTTCTTACCTCGTTTCTTCCAGGACCCTGGTTTGTTGGTGAGATCATTACAGGCACAGTGGGTTGCTGCTTTTCTTTCGGGATCTTTGTTGATGGACATTTCCTACAAGGGAGCTTAACATTTGTAGTTGGAATTCTCCAGGTAAGAAGTCAGAAAGGCATCTGCAGAGCATCTTGGTCTTGTTGGACTAGTTGTATTACTACTCTGAATTAAACCCAAAATTCCAATTTAAGTGCCACAGATTATCTCCCTACTTTGTAGGCAGGGTCATCTTTAATAACTGGTGTTTTATTTTGAATAAGAGCACTTCCTAAGCTCTTTCTTCTACCACTCTTGTAAACATCTAAAGGATGTTTCTGGAAGGCAGAATTTGTAAGAGGTGAAAGAGGTCTTTGTTGTTATGCATTTCATTGACAGAAAATTAAGTTAGGGGTTTAGGTTAGAATGAATGATAGTTATGAGTAATCAAATAGCTTATGATTAACGAAGGACAAAAATGCTTTACGGGGGAGGAAAGTAAAAGAGACGCATAAGAAAGGTGTATCTGTGTGATCATGAGTTGTCGATGGGATCAGGTATCGGGCATCAAAGACCCAAAACAAATCACATCCATGTGAATGACGGGGAGGGCAGAGTGCAGATGCAAAGCCCATCTGTAGTCAATTTGACATCCCCTTTCAGAAGGGTCACAAGGAAGAGACAAGCAGACTAAACACACAACTTGACTCTAGTTCTTTATTGCTTCCTCCACCCCCCCACTATTATGACCCTAATTCTACCTATCAAATATGGCTGGACCAGAGCATGTGCATGGGTACAGATAGAGCTTGCAACACAGGGAATCCAGGACAGATAAACCCATCAGGACCATAGTGAGAACAGCAGTACTAGGAGGGTAGGGAAAGGTGGGGGGAGTAAGGGGAAACCGATCACAATGACTGACATATAACCCCCTCCCAGGGGGAGGGATAACAGAAAGTGGGTGAAGGGAGACAGTGATTGGTATAAGACAAAAAACCCCAATAATTTATAAATTATCAAGGGTTCATGAAGGAGGGAGGGAAGGAAAAAAAAATGAGCTGATACCAAAGGCTCAAGTAGAAAGAAAATGTTTTGAAAATGATGATGGTAACATATGTACAAATGTGCTTGACACAATGAATTGTGATAAGAACTGTAAGAGCCACCCCCCACCCCCACCCCCCCCAAAAAAAAAGTAAAAAGAAAGGTGTGTCATTTAACCAGTAGAAACCGTGCTGGGCAAAAACCAGATCTGAGCTTTCCAGTGATGTTTTAGGAAATATTGATTTGCTTGGGAAACACTGATGCATTATTTTTACATCTGGATTGAGAGTCTTGACCACAGCACATGAAGAACCCTGGCCCATAGCAAATCTCTATAAATGGATTTCAGAATCTGAGTACTAATCTGAGGTTTGGGATGAAATGAAAAACCTTGTTCAAAATGAGTTGAAAGCCTCATAGCAGGGCAGTAAAACAGGACCAGCAGGATGGCAGACAGGCAAATGGGCACGATTTTGGCTTAGGAAACATGACCACCGGCCTGAACATTATCTGCACGGCAGCACTATAGTAGGTCCAAGTCCAGTTTAATTTTCTATTATGCCCATGGAAACTGGATCTCAGGAGTACCTTTACACCAAGTGAAACCAGAACCTTGCCCAAAGACCTCTTTTCCTTTGTAAATGTTTACATATATGAATATTTTCATAAATATTCAAAATTTTACTGCCATTGAATTGATTCCTACTCACAGCAGTCCTTTAGGACAGGATAGAACTGCCCCTATGGATTTCTGAGACTAAGTCTTTAGAGGAGTACAAAGCCACACACTTTCTCCCATGGAGGGTCTGGTGGCTTGGGACTGCCGACTTTGTAGTTAGCAGTGCAATGCATAACCCAATCCACAGGACTTTTGTGTATTGTACAAGGACCATGATTCCCAAATCTCTGCCTAAACCTCTTTCTGCATTTCAAGTGCCTCTACGTATATTTGACTGTCATTTCACATCTTCCTTTATCTGTCTAACAGGCATCTCAATATTATGTCGCTAATAATAGACCCTTAAATGTCTTACCCAAACCTGTTCCTCCCTCTGTTCTTTCCAGAAAAATATCTGTTTCTCTAGGGGTTATCCTTAATTCTTCCCCTTCGCTTGTATGCTCTGTCTAGGCCATCAGCAAACTGTACCTTATTGGGCCCAGCTCCAATATATACCTTCAGTCCATTTACTTCTCTCCATCTCGTCATGATTATTTCTTGTCTAAGCTACTGTGATAACCCCTAACTAGTCTGCTTACACCTACTCTTCCTCCCTTACTGTTAGTTTAGCATAAAGCATCTGGAGTGATCCTTTTTTTAAGACCTGAATCACCTCACTCCTCAGATTAAAATCCTTTAGGCAAAGCACTGACATTATCTGTGTCCTGAGACTGCCTTGGCCTCCACCTGATACACTGTGTTATGATAAATTGGCCAAGGCCTCTCCAACCTTTGGGCTTTTTGTTTCTTCTGAGTGGAATGTTCGTCCCTCCACTGGCTCATTCCTGCTCTCAGGCCCTAGAGAGGTCTTCACCAGATATTTCATTCATTGAATTTATCATAATCTGTACTTATGGTGGTTTCTCTCTTTCCTCTCTGTTAGAATGTCTTTTCAGATTTGCCCACCAGTGTGTCCATAGTTAAGAGCCTAGCATAGTGAATTCCACATAATGGGTGCCCACATGATATTTGTTTAATAAATGGATGAACTGTATAATACCTAAACTTGTATTATAACACAAAGTTCCAAATCTATATTCCAGTACTCATTATGCTGCCTCAAATAAGAATATAGAGATAAGGGGGGGAAATGCTGAGACGTTACTCTCCTTTGACCAAAAAAAAAAAAGTGTGTGTGTGTGTGTGTGTATACAATTTGGTTTCAACTTAAACAGTATTGAGTATCCACTGTTAGTATGACAGTGTACTATAAGTTGAAGATGTCTACATCATTGAAATGATACTGCCTTTAAGATGAACAAGAAGACAAAAGAAAATACAAAAACTGTAAGAATAAATCAAGTGTTGTTATAAGCAAGTGATCGAAGGAGAAAGAATTGGAGCTAACCCCCAAGAGAGAAAGCAACATATTCTTGGGAGCCACCCATAACAGTAACGGCACCCAGTCCCTCCATGACTTGGTGGTACGCTAACGGTTCTGCTCTGCTCCTCTTTCCAGCTGGTGTTTTTTAACATCCCCTTGATGGCTTACCTGTGTTGGAGCTTGCTGCAGCGGTGCTTTGGTCACAACTTCAGGTCTCATCTCCACCAAGGAAAATACTTGAAAACGGTACCAGTTCACCTACTTATGCTCCTACTGTACATCTGGCAAATTTATTCTTGCTACTTTCTTCATGTGACATATGGTACTTTGGCCTTTTTCTTCTCCCCTCTGCGGACTTGGCTGACACTGCTGGCACCCATTCTCATTCGAAATGTGTGGACACTAAGCCCCACTGAGTTTGGAATCTTCATTGTACAGTTCAAAAGCCACCTGAGCTCCTGAAGGCTGTGCCTTACCGTCAGCAGCTGAGCCAGACTCCATTTCTCCACCTCCAGGGCAGGCCCCTGCACCAGTACAAAGATAGTATTGCTGGCAGACCTTCAGGGACCTGCTGCTCTTTGGATGCCCGGGAGTCAAGAGGGATTACCCACTACTGATTACTGCAGTATGGACTAGAGAAAAATCTAATTAATGCTGTGATTCATTTCTTGTCCAAGATGACGAAAGATTATTTTACCTTTGTAAAGAGAATGCCCAGTCTACCAGAACCACAGGATGGACCTACAGGTTGGGTGTATGTTTGGGGGTTTCTGAAACTGACAGTGTTTGGGTTACTCCACAAAAAGCACTAGTACAGTGTTTGCACTCAGCAGCTGCCAAGAATGCCATTTTAGTGAACCTGGGACTTGGAACTGATCCTAACTGCCTTCGGATGGATTAGCTCCTAGCATATTCCTGAAGGATTATGGCTCTGTTTCCGTAGTCGGAATGTTTTCAACTAATCAAATAAATGAATGAATGAATGAACAACCATGCAGCCAGCCCCTGTACTACTGGCTCCTTTGCGCTCGGGTGCGGCCAAGGGGCGGGGGGAGGCGTGGCCTGGCTTCGGGCCTAGTGGGCGGGAAGGGGGCGTGGCCGAGCTCCTGGGGCGGGGCGTGAAGGGTTGTTGACGGAAGAGGCCCTCTGCCTGCGGCTCCCGGAAGTGGTTGTTCCCGGAAGTGGTTGGCTTCCGTCGGCCGTCTTCAGGCCCGAGATAGAGATGGATGGTGCCACAGCCCCCGGGGCCGCCGACCCCGCACTGGAGCCGCTCCGGCACCTGGCTGGAGTGCGGGGTGAGTTGGGGTGGGCGATGACAGGGGCGTTGGAATGGGGAGAGGTAAGGCGGGGCGGCGGCGGGGGTCCTGGCGGAGGAAGTGGGGGTTCGCCGGGGGCTCCGCTTACCCAGCTTTTCCTTTTGCCACCGCCCGGCCCGCTCGCGCCACACCCACTAGTTGGCGAAGCTCAAGAGTCCCCCGAGGAATTCAATCGGGAGAAGTTTTGGAGAAGACTCAGTGAGTGCTGTTCTCATCCGGGACCCCCACCCCGTGCCCGTTTACCCTGGGGCCTTTCTCCACCCTGAACTGTGCCCGCACCCTCCCGGTCCCCCTGGAGTGAGTGACCTCCCCTGCCGCCTTTTCACCGCGGGGCACCTCACCCACCCGCAGCCTGTGGAAGGTTGAAATCTGAAACAATGATTTGGGGAGTTGTTTTTGAGACGCTGCAGCCAGTAGGTGGGGAGAGAGAGCGCATTATTTTTAAAGTCTGCCCAGCGGCTGCAGCCTTATCATTTCGACACTAACACCTTGGCACCCGCCTCCTCTTCCACCCTCCAGATGAGGCGGCACTCAGAGTGTCACATGAAGCCACGATTCTGACGACAGCCTTCTCCCGACTTCCCCTGCCGTCTCCACAGGTGGGCTTTTCTTCCGTGGTGTCGGTGTATTGCTTCCTTATTCCTTGAGAACCCGCGTTTCCTTCCCACCTTTTAGACTCAACCCAAGGGATTTAATTCTGTGCAATGGAAGACCAAATTAGGCAATGTGTGAAAATTTGCCAAGTTGCAGGGAGTAGACATCTTCTAAACAAGGGTTCAGTGTAAAGTTCAGTCTAGGTCGCTCCTTTCTGATAATTTTTGTAAGAAGTACTTGCAGTTTGCTGTATGTGTTCACAGAAGTGATCCCCATCAGATCCAAGTCAGCAAGCCAGCTCAGAGAGAGGCTTGGCTTATGGTAAATAAGCAGTGAAGCTAGAATTTAATTCCCAACAGTCTAAGATAAAAGCTGCTCCTTCTGTGCTATTCTACCTAAAACCCTTCTAGAATTTTAGAAATGTTGCATTAGTAATATGCATATGATATGAAGGGAGTCCTGGTGGCTGCTAATGAAAAGGGGAAAAATGTGTCAGTCTGTGTCCAGAAAGATTTACAGTCTTGGAACGCCCTCTGAGCAGTTCTACCCTGTCCTGCAGGGAGGGGCACTGTGAGTTGGCATTTACCCCATGGCACTGGGCTTGGTGGGAATAGGTGGTGAAATTCAAAACATATCAAAGTTAAGCGTGCCCAAAGCTTTTATATCCCAACCCAAGTTTCTCACGTTTGCCTCTCTTCCCAGTTCTTTTTGCATCATTTCTTGTATATCCTTTACATATGCATGTTTATGCGTATACAGTATGCCTGGTTCTTTTTACATAAAAGGTGGGATACCATGAATACTATTCTAAATTTGTGACTTAACAACTACTGAAAATGCTGTCTTGGTGAATTGCTTGCTATGCTGTTTATCTGTGCAAGTGCATGCCTGTAGAGAAATATCCCCAGAACTGGACTTGCTAGAATAAAGAATTAAACATTTTAACCCTTCATTACAAAACTAATGAAAGTAAAATATGTAGACTGGGACCCAGGGATGCCCTATTTTTGCTAAGCATACTACATTTAGGGGTAAAATTGTTTTAAAGTGGCATATTCAAAAAAAGAAAAGTGGCATATTCATTGCCTTATTTCTCTTGGTCAGCAGGTTCATTCTCTTTATCCAGATACTTTAAGATTACATAAGTGCTCTTACTGAGCCAACAATGATGAAGCCTTTCCCCCTTGTTCCTCAGAAGTCTGGGATGAGGAGACAAGAAGCTTTGTAAGCTTCATGGAAAAAAGTCAACATTTCTACCAAAGGAAGGACTATTCATATTGATTCATTTTTCTAATATACTGACTCCTGTCTTTCAAATACATTTAGGACTGCTAAAATTCATAGCTACCAAGATTCCATAAGGAGGTAGCATAGAACTCTTTTTTTCTGTACATTTTCAATATAGAGTTTTCATGATTGAAAACTGAAAGTTCAAAGTTTGTTTCCTTTAAATCATGTATAGATGGGATCTCAGCACTTTAGTCCCACTGCAGTTTAAAATGCACTAAATACTGATATAGTGAAAACTACAGAACTGAATGGGCTTTTATGGTTTTGATCAGTGATTGTTCAGGATAATTTGTTATTTTTGTTTCTAAAATTCACACCCATTGTGGGTTGATATTTTTCTTAATTAGGTGCTTGAATGTTATACAATGTCAAATTGCCATAAAGGTTTCTAAATATTCTCAGCCACTGCCTTTAATCTTATCCCAGTCTAATTGTAAGGGAATAAGTCATTTGTGGATTGGCACAACCTGTAGATCAGCCTTGGCTTAGCACTGGTGAAGCTAAATAAGGACAAGGAAGTAGGAGAAAACCAATGACAGCTTAGCATGAAAGTAGTCAATATTGTGTAAGGCTGAGCCCATGTGATTGTTTCAAAAGGAGAGAAAGAGAGAGAGGGTGAGAGACATACACATCCTCTCCTCACTTACTGACATGGGTAGGTTCCAAAGGTCAGATTGTTGTGTGAAATAATCATTGTCAGAAAATGGAGGATGACTGTATCATTACATGATGGCCAAGTTACTGAGATTTATAGCACAGCCAGGTTGACACATAGCTGTAACCATCACAGCCTGGGTATGTTACTGCCAGGTATGTCCCATTCCCATGGAAAATAGTTATATAGATCATTTACTGTTGTTGTAAATATGAAATGCCAGATGAATTGATCGTCAATAAATGAGGAGTAAGCGTTACGATATGAGATAGGAGTTGGCATATTTCTTCTGAGCCAGACAGTAAATAATTGTGTTCCAGTTCCATTGAACACCAGCACTCAACAGGACTGCTTTGTTTTTCTGAGTCTCGCAAGTTTTCCACCTTTGACAGATTACAGTCTTGTTTAGTGGAGAGTATTTGCATTTTCCTTCTCTGATGGGTTTTCACCTTACAAAGGTTCTGACATTCACCAGTTTTGCCTATAAGAATTGGCAATGGGCTTGATTTTGGTCTGTGGGCTATAGTTTGCCAACTTCTGATCTAATATATGGTGAGTACCTCACAGCAGCTCACTAGTATCTTGGGATCTAGAGTGTCAGAAAAACATTTTCAGTGCTGTTTCTTAATGTTTTATTGAGGTGCCTGCCCAATGCTGGTGCCTAGCCAACTGCTTTCTGATGTGTGATGAGCAGAGCACAAGGCCTTTTATATTTTTAGTCTGACTTCTACATGAAATACTTTGACCTAATCTATTTCCTGCTTTCTTTCTGAACTTGGCTCATTACCTCACAGGAGACCCAGAGAATCTGTGAGCAAGCCCGTGTTGCTATTGAAGCAATCATTGCAGTGTACTACTCCCTTCCCAAGGATCAGGGTAAGCAAGCCACAGAGTACACATACATGTTCAGTTCATAGGGTAGATACTTGCTACCATGAAAGCTTATGTCCTGAGACCTTTACCCTTAACTCCATTGGAGCATGTTACTTCCCCCCATAAAAAACAGTCAAGAGTAATAACATATGACCGCTATCCACAAGCAGTTATGTGAAGGGTACATTTGGTATATTCCCTGTGACTCCCAGTATCTCCTGCCTTGCCTGACTCAGGCTGTTACTCCTTACTGGCTCTTCTCTGACTGACCCATTCTGCAGTGTAACTGTTGGTTGCATCTCAGCCCTGAACCCAGGCCCATGCCATCCCCACTCTCCTCCACCCATATTACATTACACCCTCTGTCCAAGCTCCCTAATAGTTTTAAGTGTCCTCTAGTCTTGCCTGGAGATTCAAAATTCTACAAAAAGATAGATGACTATATACCATGGATCTTCAGAGTTACCTACAAATGGTTTTAACTTCCAGTGCTTCATCAGCAATTGTCAAGGGACTACTGTCCTTATTGAGTGAATACATGGTGTTATGGAAAGGTTTGTTTCTGATCTCTTGGAGAACAGCGGCGAAGAGTGGAGGGAAGAATAAGAAAATGGCATGGGGATATAAGTATGAGTTTCATGTTGGGCAGTCCAGTTCAAGCACGTGGGTGCACATTACCTCATGGTCCTACGATGCGTAGACTTGAGAACACAGATGGTGGCTTCTGAAAGAAGAGCAGGGCCGCTTATTCTTTGGGTTTGGCCCTAGGAACCACCCTGCGAAAGCTGGTACGGGGTGCCACTCTGGACATTGTGGATGGCCTGGCACAGCTTGTGGAGGTGCTTTTCATCACTCCTGCTGAGGGGTAAGGATGCCAATGAAGGAATTAGCGTCTGACGGGTTCCTTGCCTCGGGGCGGGAAAAAGCCTGCTCCAACAGCAAAATTACTTAGAGTTAACACTAATGACCAGCGGGAAGAAGTTTTGTATGAGACAGGAACTTGATTATTGACTTATCCTTATTAATTCCCTCCTCCAGCCCCGAGAACAAGGACCTCATTTCCTGCAACAGTGTTTGGATTGCCTGTGAGCAGGTGGCTCAGCTACCAAGAGGTGGGTGAGAGTGGGAAGTGGGCCATTGGCTCTGCTGGCTGCAGAAGAGAGACCCCTTCATGCCTAGCCTCCAGCTTTGTGGCATGCATGTATTTTAACTTACATAAGGGTTTTAGTGAATATGTATATGTGGTATGTCATCAACATCAGATGTTAGCTATTAGTGCATTTCTGCCATGCTCTCGTTCTCATACTTCTAGATTGTAGCTCTGCTGCTTCTTGAACAAGTGGGCTTTATTTTCCAGACTTGCCCCAGGAGGAATATTGTGAGAGACAATGAAGCAGGTATGAGGTAGCGCCAGCGAGGCCAAAAGCAGAGTTTCAGTGTTTTTCCAAGAGAACCCTGATGAGAATCGTCATGTGATCCTTTTAGTTTCTCTGGAGTGACCGGAGAAAAATGTTTTTGCCCACTGTCTGTATACCAAGGGGGTGTGGTGTGAGAAGAAATTTACATGAAACCATTGACTCTGGTGACTCTGCTTGGCGCACTGCCTTCAGCAGTTTCTCTTTGCAGTCTTAGAGAATAGTTGGCTTTTCTAATTCTAGGCCTGATTTTCTACTCATAGATAACAAAGCCGCCGCCCTTCTGATGCTGACGAAGAGTGTGGATTTGGTGAAGGATGCCCATGAGGAAATGGAACGGGTGAGGGGACCTCTGTCTTTTCTAGTTGTTGGGAGGCAACTCGGTGACCAGTAGATGAGACTTCCTTGTAGAGTGAGGACAGTTCTTGATCATGGATGGCATAGATCCCATCCTAACTGTTGCCCCCTGCCTTCCATCTGCTATCCCATGCCGGTGTCTGCGTGAGATCAGGGTTTGTGAAGGGATGCAGGCTTGTAACTATTAGCAGAGTCATTGGTTGAGGTTTTGTACAACTCAGAAATAGGATGAACGTATAATAAGCTTTACAAAATTATTCCCATACATCACTGTCTCTTAGGCTGTGGAAGAATGTGACCCTTACTCAGGCCTCTTGAATGACTCTGAGGAAGACAACGTTGGGAATGACCATAGGGTGAACGCTGCTGACCCGATTGATGCTGAGGAGGATGCACTGGGCTTTCCAAACAACCGGGATGTACACTGGTCACAGGAGGATCAGGAGCTCATAACCCCGTGCCTCGCCCTGGTGAAGGCATCCAAAGCCAGCCTGAAGAAAATCCGCATTTCCGTGGCAGAGAATGGGAAAAAGGAGCAGGTGGCCCAGCTGGATGACATTGTCGATATTTCTGATGAGATTAGCCCCAGGTAAGCCCAGCCCCCACCTGAGACATCTAAGCAGCAACATTCTCTTCTTACGCTTTTGCTGTCACCCAAAGGTTCCCCCCCAAGTTGTTAATTTTAAAAATGTTCAAAACGGTTGGAAAAATACTGCCATGAACACCCATGTATCTTTTATCTAGATTTGCCATTTGTGTGGTTTTGTTTTGTTTTTCTATTGCCTTAAAAAATATATATGTGCTTTCCCTACCTACACTACTTTAAGAGTAACTTGTAGTCTGAAAAAAAATGGGGTGTTGTTGCCAGACTTCCTATTCTAACATCACAGAGAAGAAAGAGAATCACGGCAGCCAGACGCTGGTTTCTGTGAGGTGGACATCAAACCTCACCCTCCAGCTTTTGAGCTTCTTTTCTTTTTTAACCAATTCTGACACCAGCTGTTCCTGCCACTGCACTTTCTACTTCTCTACTGGATTTCAAATTCACTGCAGTATCCACACACAACTCACACACTTTTGTCACAATTTAACTGTTTACTAGGGAAGTAACAGGTTATAATTCGTAATCAGGAATAACTCAGGATACAGTTCTTCAGTCAAGACAGTTTCTTGATTATGGCTGAATGCAGGCCTCTTGGCTCCTTGGCCCCTCTGCAAATGTTATAAAATAATTTAGTTCCACCAATATGTGTTTGGGGACAACCCACGCAGCCAGTAATTTTTGGAGCTTAGAGCTCTTGCTCCACGGGTTTGTGAGCCTAGCTCTACCAAGTGTCTGAAGCACCTCACTTTCCAGTAAGCCTCCTGCCCAAAGATACTCAACTCTCTTGTCTGTGAGCCAGCCTACCCAGGCTTGCTGCCTTGCTCTGTGGGCTGGGAAGCCCACCACACATTTTACTCCAGTTTTCTGATACTGCCGCTGCTGTTTCTTTACACCATCCATCTTACGCTGTGTCATGTAATCAATGTTGTTACAGCTCTTTGATCCCTGGGTGTAGGAGGTTCTTAGCATAGGGACACTTGGTCCAAAGGACACACACTGCTTCCAGCTCTTCTTGGTGGCAACTGAGGACTCTCTCAGCTAATCCTCTGAGATTAGCTCATTTTAAGCTTAGGAGGATGGCCAACTGAGCAGTCCCTCATTAGGGACTTATGTACATGATCCCACTCCCACAGGGATGTCACGCACCTTTGCATTATATTAGCACGTTTCCCAGTCCCTTGGTGAGCCACAAATAATTTATTTGCATAGTCCCGTCCAGTCATTTTGTAGATGTTACAAGACGACGCGTGGCCAGAAGAGTCAAAGTCATCTCACTACATAACACAGATGTCAAGAATTTCACCTGAAATACTTCAGTGTGTATCAGATTAAAACATTCTTCTACATGATCATGTTATCATTGTCACATCTAAGAGATTTAGTAATGAATACAATGATATCTAATTTTCAGATTTCTCTAGTTGCCTCAAATGTTTTTTCGGTTTGTTTTTAACTTAAAATTTAGCCAGGGTCTCACATGGCATTTGGTTGTAATCACTCTAGTCTCTCGTAAGCTAGAACAGTTTCTCTGCCCTTTTTCGTAGTGTCATCAGGTCAGTTGTCATGTGATGATTTAGGTTAAAAAATGTTTTTTCCCTCGCCAAAATACCAGGTAGCTGTGCTTCTTGTTCCATCAGATGAGGTCTGTTAGTTTGTTTATGCTAAATTTGGTCATTTGATTAGAGTAATGCCCTCCGTAGTGAAGGCTAGCTATCATTTACCCGGTGACTTGAGCTTCCTCACATTCTTGACTGAATCATATCCTGTACTTATGACCAAGGAGCTCAGTGGTGCTTTTGGAGCTCTAGGGGATAAACGTTGGACTGCTAACCTCAAGGTTGGCAGTTCAAACCCATTGCTTCAGGAATTTAAGGCATTTGAGATAATTGTTTTCGTACTAGTCCATAGTTGTGAACTGGAAACCATTCACCTGAGTTTTATACCTTACCTTTTAATAATTATTTTTGCTTTTTGTTCTTAGTGTGGATGATTTGGCTCTCAGCATATATCCACCTATGTGCCACCTGACTGTGCGAATCAGTGTAAGTACTGGCTTTGAGGAACTAGCTATATACCTTCTTGATAGAATTTCCCTATCACTAGTATTTCTTTTAAGTTATAGGGTACAGACCTTAGAAAATGTCGCTTTGAAAGTCTTAATTTCCACAGTGCTTTAAGAACCTCTGAATCTTCAAGCCTTTAAGACCCTAGATGCTATTTCTCTCGGTAGCCGAGCACCATCACCTTCTTCACCACACTTACTTATGCACACATTTGTCTTCAGTGTTTATATGGGGAAGGGGAGCACACAATGATGTTTTTTGTTCTTTTTGTCTGCTACCTGATCCCTTCAACACCTCCTGATCACACAGGCTTGTGTGCTTCTTCCCTGTGGGCTTTGTTGCTTCTCAGCTAGATGGCTGCTTGTTTACCTTCAAGCCTTTAAATCCCAGGCGCTTTATCTTTTGATGGCCCGGCACCTTCAGCTTTCTGCAACACAAGGCTTGTAGGTAAACAAGCGGCCATCTAGCCCAGAAACAACAAAGCCCACATGGAAGAAACACACTAGCCTGTGTGATCATGAGTGGTTGAAGGGACCAGGTATCAAGCACCAAAGAACAAAAAATCATATCATCTTGAATGAGGGGGAATATGGGATGGGGACCCAATGTCCATCTGTAGATAACTGGACATCCCTTGCAGAGGAGTAGTGGAGAGGAAATGAGTCACTCACGGTGCAGTGTAGCATCAATGAAACACACAACTTTCCTCTAGTTCTTAAATGCTTCCACCCTCCCCACCTCCCACTATCATGATCCCAATTCTACCTTACAAACCTGGTTAGACCAGAGGATGTACACTGGTACAGAGAGGAACTGGAAGCACATGAAATCCAGGGCAGATGAACCCCTTAGGACCAGTGGTGAGAGTGGTGATACCAGGAGGGTGGAGGGAAGGGGGTGTAGAAAGGGGGAACCGATTATAAGGATCTACATGTAACCTCCTCCCTGGGGGTTGGACAACAGAAAAGTTTGTGAAGGGAGATGGGCAGTGTAAGATATGATAAAATAATAATACTCTATAAATTATCAAGGGTTCATGAAGGATTGGGGAGCAGGGAGGGAGGGGAAAAAAATGAGGAGCTGATTCCAGTAGCCCAAGCGGAAAGAAAATGTTTTGAGAATGATGAGGGCAACTCATGTACAAGTGTGCTTTACACAATTGACATATGTATGGATCGTGATAAGAGTCATATGAGCCCCCAATAAAATGATTTAAAAAAAACCAAAAACCTCTGAACCTGATAACTCAGTTTCTAATGTCTAGTCTGCACCAGAAACATACTTGATGCAAATAGAAACATACTGTATGATTTAACCACAGCGTGCCAAACTCTTTAAACATGTGATTTTATTGTATTCTCTTAAGTACTGTGCTCTTTCCTAGAAAGTGCTATTTTCTTATTTTTATGAACTCAGGCTCTTATCTCTAATGTCATTAGAAGGAGAAATAAAACTGCAAATTGCCTTATATTTTATAACCAAATGAATCAATTCTCAATTTCATAAAGTAGGTAGTAGAGACTAGATTCACTAAATTTATCTTCATAATGTGCAAACACTTTGAAGTAGAGTAGGATTATTTTGAGCATTAACTTTAAAAATGGACTTCCCAATAAATAAACATCTTTAGGCATGTATTTTATCAATTTATTCCTTAAGATACTATCTGCTATACTAATTTAAAGATAGGTACTATTTTAATGACGTCTGTTGGGTCAATCCCAACTCATGGCAACATGGGGCTATATATATATACACGAGGGGGTACCCCCCCAAAACGGAATTGTGCTGGGCAGAGCGGAGCTTCATAGTACGCATTTTCCTCCACTAGGTGAGCATCGAGCAGCTTGCTCAGAGTTAATGCACCCAGTGGCATCGCCTAAAAAGGTTCTCTCTGGTCACAGTGAATTTTTTCATAAAAGCGGTTTCACTCGAACCTTGTTTTACTGTGATGACTGATTTGATAGAACAGTGTGTGGCTGTGAAATTTTGTTTCTTGCTTGGGAAAAATGCTGCAGAAACTGTTGTGATGTTCTCGACACCACTGTGGGGAGAAACTCAAGTGCACAAGTGGCTTTCTCATTTCAAAAAAGGTGAAATGTCGATTGATGACAAACTTCATTCTGGATGTCCATCAACTTCCTGAACAACTGAAAGTGTAGACTCGTAATGCATTTGGAGTTTGTTCCACCAGGTCAAACTGTTGTTAATCAAGCTTTCTATTTAGAGGTTCTATAAAGATTATGTAACAGTGTGTGACCAAAAAGGCCTGATATGTGGCAGACGGGGGACTGGTTTTGCCAACATGACAATGTACCTGCTCACTCAGTCATCTCAGTGCACCAGTTTTTGGCAAAAAACAGCAGACCTCTCTTGCCCCATGCACCTGACTCACCTAAACTAGCTCCGTGTAACTTTTTGTTTCCGTGAATGAAGAGAGACATGAAAGGACAGTGATTTGAGGATGTGGAAGAGGTGAAGAGAAAAATGAGGGAGGTGCTGTGAACCATCCAAACAGATGAATTTGAAAAATGTTTCCAAAAATTGAATTGTAAAAATAAATTAATAAATGAAAAACAAAACAAAAAAGAATGGAATCGCAGGTTTGACAAATGTTTTAAGTGTAATGGAGACTGCTTTTGAAGGTGATAAGGTTGTTTTGTAAAAAAATTTAGCTTTGGGGTAAAATTTTCTGTTTTGGGGAGTGTAGCTCCTTGTATACTACCAGTCTAAAAGAAGACACATAGTAGAGGCACAAGAATGTACATACTATATGTATGTATAAATATATACATGTGTACATATGAGTATGGATATCTATGTGTGTGTCTTTCCACCAGTATAAAACAAGACACCTATATACTAAGTGTATATAAATGAGTATGTGCTATATACACATTTTATTCTGGTGCCATATATACATACATTCATTCTCTTTTGATACTGATGTTCTTAAAATTCTCTATGTGGACTTAAAAAACAAAACAAAACCAGTTATTCTGCTTTATAATCAATTGTTTACATTTGGGAGAAATTCCATTACATGCTTCCTTTTTTCTGATTGTTGTTTTAATATTTAAAAATCTTATTACAATTTTTGCTAAATAGAAAAGTTCATATTCCTACCACCACAGTATAATGAACAGTCTTATTTTTACATATTTCTTCAAGGACCTGTTTTTAGTGATTTGTGGTACCTGGGCCATTTTAATATTTTCATTCTCCTTTCCTTTTATGGTAGGGCTCAAGGTGATTAACATCTGCTTCTTTTCTAGGCTGCGAAACTTGTATCTGTTTTAAAGAAGGCACTGGAGATTACAAAGTGAGTTTGAGGACTTCACCCCAAATAGTTGTTTGAGGTTATTCTAGATTTGCATCCAGCCTTTCTTAACTCCCAAATGAAGGTGGGTATGGGATTTTCTCTCAGCTTCAGTTATGGAGTTCCTGAGTTTCTGCAAATCAGTGTGCCTTTTCTTATGATAGTTCCCTTTGGGGCTAAGGTTTTCCTTTTGATATCATTATGCATTTAACTTCTCTTTTCCTCCTTCCATTTACAGAGCAAGTCATGTGAGCCCTCAGCCAGAAGATAGTTGGATCCTGTTACTCATTGCTGCCGTTGATCATTGCATGAACAGAATCAAAGAACTCACACAGCGTGAACTTGAATTATGAGTTTTCAGGTTCATTTGTACCAGCCAGGGTCTGATGTTTGCTTTTAAAATATGGCCAGATTGCTTTCTGGGCCACAAGAGAGTCCCTGTCTGGACTTAACAAGAGATAATATTACCAGAGTTGTTTGAGTAGGCCAGACTGGCAATTATTTATAAACTGTGTAAGAGTGTGATGTATTTTTCTGTGCTAGGTACAAAAGCTAATTGCATGACTTTGTGTTTCTGAATTGTCCCAGAGATTCCTGGTGAAGCTGCCTGATGCATTTCTTTTTATTTATTTATTTCCAACAGTTCATTGTGCTCAGGGGAAAGGATAGATGGCAAATCATAGTCCATTCAGAGCTTATTCTCTGTCATGGGTTGCAGTCCCACAATGTGTCAGCACTTTCCTTGTCTTCTCCTGGGTTCCCCATTCCCATTCATCTAGTTTTCTTGTCTCTGAACGTTGTTTTTGGAAAGTGTTGCCCTTTTGATCTCAGGAACACATTCTTCAGGTAACCTCTGGGAGTGTCTTCAGTTTCACGTTAGAAGGTTATCTGAAGGTCATGGTCTCAGGGATCCTCTAGTGTCTCTCATTTAAATTTTATTCTATAATGTTTTACGCATTCCTCAAGCACCTGCTGTGTGGTCTTAGAGTGGTCAGTAGTGGAAGGGGGGGGCACCCTCTAGTTCTTTGGGTCTCAGGTTAGAGTAGGTTGTGGTTTATGTGGGCCCTTTGTCCTTTGGGCTGATGGCTTCATTTTTCTTCTCGTTTGCTCCAGGCAGGAAGAGACCAATAGTTGCTTCTTAGATGGCAACTCAAAAGCTTTAAGACTCCCAACGCTTCTCACCAGGCTGTAATATTAAACATATTTCTACCCTGTGGCCAGTTCCTGCCACTGGTCCCTGGCCTTCAAGTTGAGTGGTTCAGTTCTGACATCTTAGTAATTTCTTTAACAAGCCCCCTATGCATTCTATTACAAATATGAGTTTACATCAAAAATTTACAAATATGTATATAGAAATATCCACTACCATATCTATGTAATATACTCCCATAGGGACCTCTCTCACCTGTTAAGTGTATATATTTACCATGTTTCTGATAATAAATTATTGCTCTTGTTGCGGAACTGTGTATTACACAGTTACTAGAGTTGTCGCTTATTTTTGTGTACCTCTCAGTGTCTGCCTTTGCTTGTGTCCTGTTATGCTGTCTCCCCCCTATTCTGTTTTGCCTTCCCCTTCACCAGAAAGAACCCGTCTCCTATTTAGTTGGGGATTTTCCCTTCCCTGGCCCTGAATTTCAATGTGTATTCCTGAATGTTTATAGTGGTTGTCTCATACAATATTTGTCCTTTTAGTTTAACGTATTTCATTCAGCATAATGTCCTCTGAATTTATCCATGTTGTGAGATGTTTCACAGATTCAACATTTTTATTGCTGCATAGAATTTCATTATATCATTGTATGTGTGTGCCCCAGATTGTTTATCCACTGATGTGGGGGGAGGTCAGATGCTTGCATCCACCACAGTGGTGGGCCTGCTCCCTGCTGCTGGAGACAAGGGATTGCTTCTCCTTAACACTTGCGGCCATTAGCTTGGTTCCTATAATGGTCTTTATCAGTTGAGCCAGGGAACAAGTCAAACAGGCTCTGTGACATCCAAAGTTAAGCTGCCATCCTAAACCTAGGATCTGCCTATCTTGTCACATGTATACCCCCAATCCCTCCTCTTCCTATTGCGTGTATGTCCCTAGACCACCTCCTCTCATTGCTGTATAACCTATAGTGCAACCCCTTCCTGTGATGTATGTCTTTACCTGTAATTAGTGGGCTTGCACGCCCCCAAAAGGTATATAGGCCTGGGTTAGCAATAGAGGCTCGTTCTTGCTGGTCTTTCCCCTCTCTCGCTGCTCTTTCTTCCCCCTCTCCCCTCCCTCCCATCCTCTCTCCCTGGTTCCCTTTCCCGACCTCCTTCCCTTCCCCCTCTCCACATGGATCACCAAGCGGGGCTGAGGTGAGCGATGTTACCATGTAATGTGTCTGACTGCATTATTTGACTCTCCTATCTCATGCTCTGGATGACATATATATTTATATATGAACCATACAATTGTGCTTACTGAAGCTGTGAATAGCGGTGGAGGGCTGGCCCCCATCCTAATACTACACACTCATGGACAGACACTTAGGTTCTTTCCATATTTCTAGTATTGTGTATGATACTGCAGTGAGCACAGGTATGCATATTTCTACTTACCTCAGCTTTTATTTCACTACAGGGCCCGCCGAGGACATTTATCTGGCCCACCGGGTGTTTTTGCCACTGCTGCCTGCCCTCCTTAGCAGCCGACTTGTCCAGTGTGCATAGGAATTTGTTCATAGGTTTTTAAACTACAGTCCGGCTCTCAAACAGTTTGAGGAATAGTGAACTGTCCCCGTTTAAAAAGTTTGAGGACCCCTGCACTAGGATATATACCTAGGAATGGGATTACCAGGATATATGGTGTTTCTATATATAGCTTTTCAAGACAGCACCAAATTGTTTTCCATAGTGGTGGTACCGTTTTGTGGATCCACCAGCAATGTATAAGAATTCAGTGTCCCCACAACCTTGCCAGCATTTATTGTTTTCTGTAGTTTTGAGTTGCATTTTCTGATGTTTGGGAGCCACATGAATGTCTTCCTTAATCAAGTGTTCATGTCCTTTGCCAACTGTTATCGCAATCCATACACACATCAATTGTGTAAAGCGCATTTGTACAT